GTAACCACCATTTCTGTTTGGTTGTTTTAGTCATGATGCAGAATAAGAATCAAATTCAGTTCTATTTGCACATCTATGAAATGCTGATTTAAGTCTAGTATATGTTTGAGACATATGGCATGATTTTCTACTTAGAATCATAGAACCATAGAATACTCTGAGTTGGAAGTGACCTATCAAGTCCAACTCCTGTCCCTGTGCAGCACACCCTAAGAGTCACACCATGTGCCTGAGAGCACTGTCCAAATGCTTCTTGAACTCTGTCAGGCTTGGTGCTGTGGTCACTTCCCTGGGGAGCCTGTTCCAGTGCCCAACCACCCTCTGGGTGAAGAACCTTTTTCTAATATTCAGTATCAATCTCCCCTGACACAACTTCATGCTGTTTTCTCGAGTCCTGTCACTGGTCACAAGAGTGAAGAGATTGGTACCTGCCCTTCCACTTCCCCTCACGAGGAAGCTGAAGACTGCAATGAGGCCTCCCCTCAGTCTCCTCTTCTCCACGCTGAAGAAACAAAATGACCTCTGCCTCTCCTCATAATGTTTTGATTGCCAAAATTTTTCATTACGCAGTGTAGATTGAGACCTAGATATCACAAAAGAAATTTCTAAAGGTAGATGCTGTCTTGAGCACATTTAGACAACAAAAGATAAAGGGATATGAAGCTTAAAATTTATGAACATATTTAATTTCTTTTGATGTCTATAAATATACTTTTCCATTTTTTACCTGCTTGTTTGTTTTAATACAACTACAATAACAAACTGATGGTCAAGTCAAAATGCATTCACTTCAGAATATAATGCTATATTTTTAGCTGCATGAGCAAGAAGATAATGTCCCTTTTCTGCTAATGCATTCCTCATCTTTCTTTTTAGCTGCATTGAGAAGATTAAGAAAGAATTTTCTTGCATTTCTATAAAATAAATATTTTCTTCAGGCCTTTACAAATTCTCACAGACAGATGAGATCACATTGGAGATGGTCACAGTTTTCATGTGTCCTCTTTCTCCCTCAGAGAAAGATACATGGAAATTAACCATCCCAACAGAAAACCCCGTGTTGTTCTTAATAAACCCAAGACTTCCTTCATCACAGAACTGTCCATTATCTCGCACTTCATTCCATGTACGTAAAATCTTGTTTGGCAATAATTTGAAATACATTGCATTTGTCTTTCCTGAGTGAAGTCCTCATATTTAACATTCTAGAAACCGTCACAGAAATCCTGCTATGGGTAATTTTTAGAGCTCTGCTTCATAAGGGACAACCAGAACACAAAAGGGAAACACAATGTTAAAATGGTAGTTTGTTAGCATAAAGAAGTTTCAGAAGTTTCACGTTCTTTTTCAGCTTGGTTCATTTTGCTTTGTGGTCCCATCTGGTTGCTTTATTGGGTGCCATTTGGACCCAGCAGTGTTTGAAATTCTTAACTATCCTTTCTAGCTTTCTGACATTGTTTTGCTCCTTTACATTCACATACTGTAAATATAGCTCTGTCCAGGACAAATTCCATTTAGCAGACATTGCTTGACAGCTCTAGTAAATTCAGAATGTTCTATTCATTCATCAATATGTGCGTACAATTTCCATTAAGCTCAATAAAATTTGTGTACAGCAGTAATAACTGGAGTCTTTTAACACTTTAGTGTCTTACTAATTGCCAGGGAGGTTTCACCAGTAGACTGAGGTATCTCCATCGCTTTTAAGGCTCTGGGAGTGTTGTTCATTCCCCTGTACTCAGACTGGTGAGGTTGCACCTAGAATCCTGTGTTTAGTTTTGGGTGCCTCACTGAAAGAGACATTGAGGTGCTGGAGGATTTCTAGAGAAGGCCAACAGAGCTGGTGAAGGCTCTCAAGAGTAAGTCATATGAGGAGCAGCTGAGGGAGGTGTTTAACCTGAAGAAAAGGAGGCTCAGGGGAGACCTTATCGCTCTCTAAAACGTCTTGAAAGGAGGTTGTAGCCAGGTGGGTACCAATCTCTTCTCCCAAGTATAAAAGCAATAGTTCATGAGGAAATGGCCTCAAACCACCCCCAAACAGGGGTGGTTTAATTCAGATATTAGAAAAAAATTTCTTCATGGAAAGGGTTGCCAAATATTTTAATAGTCTGTTCAGGGAAGTGAGGACGTCATTAAGTCACCGTCCTGGTAAGTATTTAAAATATCTGTAGATGTGGCACTTTGGGACATTAGTAATGGACTTCGCAGTGCTGGGTTAGTGGTTGGACTTGATGAGTACAGGTCCCTGTTGACCTAAGTTGTAGACACTTGACAGTTGCAGCATAGGGTTGCTAAAGCTTGTAGTTGCCCTGCTGAGACTGCAGGACTGTCTCACTGCTTGCTTAGAAACATCCTCACATTTACACTCTGGAAAGGAAAGGTTAGGAGAAAGAGTAGAAGTATCTGATAACTTCATAGTGTGGCCTAAGACAATTTGACCATGTGTTCATTGCAAAGGTTAATATATTCAACTTGGATTTGTTGAATCATGTAAAGTAATATTTCACAACACCCTTCAGGAAAAAGAAAAAAAAAAAGAAAAAGAAGAGTATATAAGATGGTTAGCTTGTTTTATAGGACCAAAGAATGCCTGAAGACCTTTGTAATGACTTTTGTGTGACAGAATCAGTCAAAGTTAATGATTTTACAGGCCTCAGTTGTGGTTATATTAAAAATAATTGCATTACCCTTGCACAACTCATTTCTGTTGCTACATAGTTTAAATATTTTATGCAGTTTTTAAGGCCTGATCCTATTCCGAGGTGGGGAAAAATGCAATAATCTGTGCCATTTCTTCCGTCTCAAACCACAAGGAAACTTTCTACTATCACCATTATTGAGATATTCATCAATCAACCTGCTGAATCTTCCTGTTTTGAATTACCTGTCTTATCCTTTATAGTAGTTTTTTAAATGTGTACCTACTTATGATCAATTTGAGTATGTTTTTGAAAATCCCAATCAGTATATGCTAAAGAAGTGTGAAGTTTGAATATCTCAAATTTTGATCCTGTAGAGGACTTCATGACCTGAGTGATGTGCAAGTACCTATGTATAAAAGTATAAATGGGTGATGTGCAAGTTTTGTGGTTGTTGTTGTGCTTGTTGGAAAGGCTTTAAGAAGCAGAAATTTTGTGTAAAAAAATGGTTTGATGAGCCTATAAATAATAACTCAGAGAAGCTGCTTATTAGTTATTCAGGTGAATAATAAAGACCAATGAATACTGAAAGGGTTTCAAGAGCTCAGAATGGAAGAGGTAGGATTTTTTGTATGTCATACTTGGAAGGTTTTTTTTTTCCATGAATACATGCAGTCTGTTTGTGATACTATATCAGCTCTATCACTTCAACTATAGCTAAAGAACAGAAAATGTAGTTTTATAAACTTGAAAAATTGTGAGATATAGAGTGAGAGAAGAATAGAAGATGCAAACAAGAAAGAAGTTATGGAAAGAGGTAATTTCAAAGTAGTTTAATGACACTAATTATTATTTGGTTCTGACTGAATTCCCAGAAAATTTGCACATGGACACTCACATATGATTACTGGACTGTAAGTCCAGTATCTGTGGGTTATAAGGAATGGGGAGGACAAGGCAGAGGCCTCAGGATGATGCAGAGCAGAGGTACCAGAATCTCTGTGGGAATATTTATTCTTTCAACAACAGAGATAGATATAATAAAACTGCATTAATATTGTACTTTTTAATTTAATATTTGCTATGTATTTGGCAATACTTCTATGAAAGCTTTTAAAACATGAACGTATTAATACTCGATATGGATAAAACAAGGGACCGAACGGCTCAGGATGGAAAAATTATGGCATCTGGACAAGAGTACAGAAACACTTCTCCCAGGACTGGCATTTAAGCTTTGTCCTGTGCTGTGCTGAAACCTCTAGGCCACAGCTCTCCTGGGATATCACATATTACGTATGGATGAGCTTTCAAAGTGACCTAAAAGATAGGCACTGTACTCCCTCTGAAAGGCAATAGGATTCAGGATCTTAATATCCCAAGGCCTTTCTGAAAATCTCATCTTACACACAGTCTTAACCACTTCATCACAGTCACTAAATAACAGCAGGTACTTGTTAACAGCATGTGTATTAGTCACTGAAAATAATTTATCCCTGCTTTGGGGCTCCTCTAAAGAAATTATACCTCTCCATTTCTCAGCCTTCTCTATATAACACCTGAGAAATAATTGTTTTCATTTTTCTTTGCCTCATTGATTGTAGAATAAATAATCCATGAATAACTCCCTACTCTCATTATTTTACCGTATCTGGTGAGCCATAACTTTTGGTTCAGCTCTTTAAGGGCAATGGCAGGAGGGATGGAGAGGGATGGAAAAGAACAGTCAGACTCTCGAAATCCCTAAACCTTAATGCTGGGATATGGCCAGGTTGTCTCAGTCATCTCTTGTAGGTGAAAATCATAATGATGCTTTAATGCAGCTTGCTTCCTGGCTTGCTCCCGGAGTGAGAATTAATTACCGAATGGCAACATCTGCATTAGCGGCTCCTGCAGCCCCAGCTGTCTGCGAGCGGGATGGTGCTCGCCTCCCCGCCCCAGAACTAGGACCGCTCGGAGGACTTGCCTGCTGGCTGCCTGGCTCGGATCCCGGCAGGCTGGAGCTCGGGGAGCCGCTGCCGCGGCGGAGCGGTGCGGAGGGAGGCAGGAGCGGCCGCGGGGGCGCGCAGGGGCGCCGCGCCCCCGCACCCAGCGACACCGGCACCGGCGCCACCGCCCCCGGCTCCGCTCCGGCCCCGAGCCCCATCCCCGCTCTTGGCCCCGGCCCCGGTCCCCGCCGCCGTCCCCCGGCTCTGCCTCGCAAGCAGGCAAGAGAGGACGATAGCGGTCCTGGAGGCCCAAGGGGCGCAGAGGAAGAGGGAGGAGCTGGAGGAAGCGGGGGGAAGAGGAGGGGAGCGCCGGGGAGAGGATTTTCCCTTCTCCTGCCTTTTTTTTTTTTTTTTTTTTGGAGGAGGAGGGAGATTGCTGCTGCTGGTGGTAGCGTTTCCTCCTGCTGGAAGATGATGAATACATGAGGAGAGAGGCTCTGAGCCTGCTTCTGTGCTGCGGGAGTGTCTCTCTCGCTCGCTCCCTCCCTCCCTCTCCCTCTGCCTGCTCCTGTGTGAGTGTGTGTTTGGCTCCCCGGCTATGCGTGCGTGTACACTGTGTATATATATCTGAGCTGGGAGGTTATTGCAAGCTTCTCTCAGCAGCGCTGCTCTGTACAGGAAGAAGGGCTCAGCTGCAGTGGTAGCATCAACAGCAGCATTAGCGGCACCAACTGCTATTTTTGCCTTTCTTCCTTCCCTTCATCTCCATCTCCCTTTCCCCTCCCACCCCCCACGTCTTTTGGGGGATTGCGTTTGATTTTTTTTTTTTTTAATTTTTCTCTTCTACAAACCTTCTTATTTCATACTTCGTGGCTTTTTTCTTCTTCTTTTTTTTTTTTTTTTCTTCCCCTTCCTCTGAGAAGAAGGCACAGACACAAACAGAGAGAAATAAGGGAAAGAAAAGTACCGGGACTTATCCTGCTGCTGCAAACCCAAAGATAGCAGGTGAAGAGGGGGTTTGGCTTCTACCCCAAGGTAAAGCCCTGCCCCCTTTACCTCCTCGACACCTCCCCCGAGAAGGAGAAGGAGAGAGAGAGAAAGGGCCAAAGTGGAGAAAAGCAGGTCTTCTGCGGCTGGCATTTGGAGTACAGGGAGCCAGGAAGTGAAGGATGGTTGTGGTTACCCGAGCTGGCTGCAGGGCAGCTCTCTTCCTCTGGATTTTCAGCAGCATTAGCTGCAGAGCCAGGACTGCTCTGCCTGCATCTCGTAAGTAACCTTTGCTAAGAAACATGCACAATTTCAGTTCTGCAATAAACCGGAGGGAAATTCCCACAACTTTGAGATTGATTTTTTTCTTTGCTGATGGATATTGTGTTTGATTTTTCTTTGTGTTCTTTTCTGTGTGCACTGAGGTTTGATGCTGTTTGCGCTGCTCCCCATCAGATCTTCCTTGGTGTAGATGATTTCATTGGTAGCTGGTGTTGAAAGTTGAAAGACTTGCTCTGTGATATAGTCTTGGTTCTGCAATGGAGTCAGAGGGGGAAAGGAATCAGAAGCTGTTCAAAGTTTGGGGATAGTTTTTGTTTGACTTATGGTTTCGTTTGTTTTTTCCCATCTTTCTTAGAAGGCATGCAGCTTGCATTTGGAAGTACTTCACTTCCACAGTCTTGTGAGGTAAAAGAGAAGATGTGACCAGTTTCCATGACTAGTGTTTTATCGAGGAGCAGCAAGAGAAAATTATGTCTCATTTGAGGAGGAAAGAATGTTTGTGAGTTGATGAGACATAACTGAGACAGGACAGCTTTTCCTGAGAGTGAAGTTTTGCTGCCCTTAATAAACTGAGCAAATGGATTTTAGAGAAGACCAGCAATTACCCTCTTAGGGAGGCAGTAATAGCAGAGAGATGATCAAGCATCTGCTGAAATGCTAAACTTTCAGACCAGAGAAGTGCAAAACACCTATACAAGATCCAATTCTTCTATCAATGTAAAAATGACAGCATATTCATTGATTTAAATGAGTATTAGATCAAATCTTTAACAGTGCACTGAGCTGTAGTTCCGAGCAAAACATTTGCAGGTAGATGTCAGTGTTAAGTGTTTGGTTGTTTCTCTTCAGACCGTGTAAAACATTTGCCATTTGCAAAGTGTTTTTGAAATGCATACTGACATGAAGCAGTGCATTTTTATAGAAAAGTCAGAAATAGACACTTCTGCTGGCTTACTCGGCTGTTCGTAGAGGAAGGAAATGTCCTGAGATGTTACAGATAGATGTGTTGGGATTGTGTAGATGTGAATGGGCATTGCTTCTATTGACCAAGCAGGGAATTGTCATAGAATGTAATGTATATATTGCATAGAGATCTGTGTAGATCACTTTCTTTCTTTCTTTATTTGTTTGTTTGTTTCCTTGGGGGCAGGAATGAACAATACAATGATTAGAGAATTGGAGCACTGCTATACTTTCTCAGTGGGTTTCTATCTGTTATTATCTGATATCTATTGAAAAATAAAAGTGTTACTGTTCCAGGATTTGCTTACACAATATTTGTTTGTGTGTCAACAGAAAATGCAGAGCAGTGTCTGCACTGTATCTAGGTCTCAGAGGCTATAAGATGTGAAGTTATTTTCTTACCTTGAATTAGGAGAAATATTGATCCTGAGGTTTACTGCTTAGTTTTGATCAGCTATCTATTTTTTCTTAAGAATATTATTTCTTCATTGTCATGTCTCAGGCTCTGCATAACAGGAATGGGGGGGGGGAAAGATTTATGATTTAAACCATCAGAAATTTGTTCTTGGAAAACCAAGTTCCCTGCTACTAATAGGGTTTCTGAGCTTTTTTTGTTTGTTTTTGTCATTCAGTAAGTAATGGCTGTAGTTTAAGTTAAAAATGACATTCAATGAGTTATCTGATTACCCAACAAATAAATCTTTAACTTTTGAAAGAAGTTAGTTGAGAAGTTAATGATTGTATTAACATCACTGTAACCAGAAATTCCAGGAATAAAGGATATATACAATCTTAATTACAGTTTACTTATATACATTCCCATCTTGACAGATATTCAGAGATTTCTGTATATAACTTCATCTCCCAAGAGCTTATACACTATGCTTCTTATGTACTAAGTAGCATTTTATTTCTGACTCACTTCTGAAAATGAAATGGAGCTAGATTTGTTTACTGGAAACAGAAATATAGCTAGAAGTACACATCAGCTTTAAAATTATAAAAGGATTGTTCACATTGCAGTACACACTGAAAATTCTTGTAAAGGCTCGCTGGTGCTTGGGAAGGGGTACCATAGTAGGAACTCAAGTGCTGTGTCACAGTGTTTTGGTGCACCACTTCACTGGTTATTCTGTTGCATGCTTTGCTCTACAAACTCATCAGTGTGTATTTTGTCACTGGGCTATATTTCCTGGGGTTGTTTGTAACTTTGTATGCAACTGTTTATGAATGGCATTGGAGAGTTTTGTTTTCTGTTGACAAGACGCTTTTATCTCTCTCTCTTTTTTTTTTTTTTTTAATTCCTTATCAGTTGATTTTGAACATCATACTGGGAATACTTCTGACAGAATTAGAACCTGTGTGAAATGCAACTTTGATGTAAAACTTATTTCCAACCAGAATTTCATTTTATCCTCTATTGTTACTTTGTGTTTTGACTTTGAAGTGATTAACAACAGCAAGATTACTCTTTGCAGTATTTTTTTAGGAAATATGCAAGAGTTATGTTGTACAGTGAATTACAAATCCCTATATATGAGCTTGCTATTCAGTATTTTCTTATAGTTTGCTTGTGCTGGCATACAAAAAATGCAGTTTTCAGAAAGCATAGAATTGTATGTCACTTATGTGAATATATTGCATCTCAAATGGTTTTTACTTTGCAAAGCAAGTAAATCTATCTCTGTCATTAAAATGGTGTCTCAGTAATACTGATTCAGAAGTGATCATGTTGAAAGCTTTTAATCTCATTCAGTTTTATCTCAAGATGAAGTGAGTGTTGAAAGCCCATCATGTAGTACAATAAACATACACTGTGATACAGTATCACACACACTAATGCTCAGATCTTACTGTAAATTCTATTTATAGTAATGTTTTCATACCTTGGCAATAAATTCTTCATATTCCTGCATTTTTTTTGTAATAAACATAGAGGGATGAAAACACTCAACTTTTGGAATCAAGGCTAATGAACAGCTCAACCAGGAGAGGTCATCACAAGATAAAAAGTAACATGGAAAAATACAGATTTAGTTCTTTATAGTCTTTTACATGACTAAGATGGAATGATAAGAATATGAATATGAGTAGACTAACTTTCATTTGTATTCATACAAAAAACCCCAAAACACACAAAGCAGCAAGCTTGTTACTTAACAGGAATGTTAGAAGTATTCATTATAGGATCATCTGTTTCTGTGGGAAAGCAATTAACTTAAAAAGTAATTGTTTTTCACAGCTAGGTATTGGTGTTTGGTTTTGGTTTTGTTTTGTTGGTTTTGTTTTTGTTTGGTTTGGTTTTGGGTTTTGTGGGTTTGTTTGTTTTATTGTTTTGGGGTTTTTTTGGTGGTTTTTTTTTTTTTGGTTGTGTATTGTTTTGTGCAATGCAAATTTTATCAGTTCAGAACTATCAAAACTTCTAGTTCTGATAATTTTCATACTTTTGCAGTAGGTCCCATACAACTACTCAAGTTGAAGTTTGAACCCATTTTACAAGAATTGATGTAGAAATCAAATGAGGGGGCAGGTATAGTAAATTATTAACATATATAAAAGCAAAAATGTGCATTCTTTTTTAACTCTCTTGCAATAATATGGTATAAAACACAAAGAGTGCTTCAGTAAGTGGTCCAGTCTCCAAGAAAGTTTGAAAGTGAAGCTAAAGGCTATGAATTGAAAACTTGTTTCTGAACATTGGGTGTTACTCTTGCAAGGAGATGAGAAATACTTTTTATTTTCTCTCTTTTTTTTTTTTTTTTTTACTCATGCACTTCTAACACATTTGAAAGGTTATTTCAGTTAATGCAGCTGTGATGGAAATTCTTTATATATAATGTGTTAGTCAGACATTAAACTTGAATAACTGATATTGCTGTGTACCTATGACAGACAGTAGCTTTTCCTTTAGATGTTCCTTGGGAATTTCAAGTTAGATCTCTAAATCTTATAAAGTATCAGATCTCATGTTCAATATTTAGTATTTATTGCAATATTTAAGACTTTTAAAGACTGTAATACTTTTAATATTTGGGACAATAACAAATTATGCACAAACTATGGGGGTTTTCTACATTTTCTTTTTCTACATATGCAGAAGAAGATTTACCTTTGAGCAGTTTGGCTTATAGGTCAAACATAAGATAACTAGTTAAATCTTGAGGTTTGCCTCTACCAATGTCTTTTTCCTGAATACTCATCATACTCCGTCTTACAAAAGTATAGGGATTTGCAAATTGTTTCAATCACTTCAATTAGAAAATGTTAGAGAAGCAGCATCAGTTTTCTTCATCAAATAAAATAATGAGTGACTTGGTAATTTTTTTACTCTTAAAATTTGTAAAGAAGAAATTTAAAATTATAGCATTATTTCCAAAATCCACATCAAGATGGAATCCTTCCTTAAAACATCAAAAAGACCTGTGGGACAAAGAGGGCAGTCCAGTAGCTTCAGTCTCCTCCCATTGAAGGAAATAGAAGTTGTGCCATGGATTTTGGGAGCACTGTGGTTAAGTTTTTTGTCAGTGAGAAGTTCATGATTCAGTCCATTGGTATGAGATACTAGAAATGATTAAAAGGTTATTCAGACTTCAGCCTTTGAACTAACATTGATTTTATCTGTATTGCACTTCATTTATTCAGCTGCTTCATTGGCATTGTATAGGTAGATAATCTGAGACCACCGGTGAGTTGCAGAACATGTTTAATCTCTGAATTTGGTGCTGTAAGAAATTGCAGTCATCAGTCATCAATTCCTTTGAACTGTTTGCTGTTCCAGCTTGGAAAACATCATAGATACAACAAAAATATTTTCAAGTCCAATATTTAACATTTTTTAAGAACTTGGGCTCTTGGTTTTAATAGCTCTGCAATTTTAAAAGAAACTTTACAAAGCTGAGACCTTTCTTGCCTAAGAAATTGTCTCAATGTTCATTCACTGTTATTGCAGCCAGCCTTTTCCGATTTGGTCTTTAACCCTGAACAACTGATAATTCAGAGCAGAAAAGGATATTGACATTCACATTTACCTCTTT